ACCCTGGACAGGTCACAAGTCCATCACAGGGCCACATAGAGACAAACGAGACAAACAACCATTCACTCTCTCACACACACCTAGGGACAATTTAGAGTTACCAATCAGCCTAACATGCATGTTTTTGGTCTGTGGGAGGAAACCGGAGCACCCGGAGAAAACCCACGCATGCACGGAGAGAACATACAAACTCCACCCAGAAAGGCCCCTGGACCGGGGTTTGAACCAGGGACCTGCTCGCTGAGAGGCAGCAGCTCTACCAGTTGCGCCACCGTGCTGCCCCTGTATGAGTCCTTTGGTAAAAAAGACCAACCAAATTTCCATAATTACCAGAATCTTCTTTTGTCTGCTTCCTTTAGGGGTCACACAGTGCACCACACTGCATCCATCCACCTCACCCTATTTCTGACAACCTCTGTCATACCAACCCTCAGCAGATCTTCCTTTACTGCATCCACTAACCTTCTCTGTGGTCGTTGTCTTTTTCTCCTCCCTGGCAGCTCCATATTCAACATTTTTTGTCCAAAATATCCAGTCCCTCCTCTGCATATGTCAAAACTATCTGAGCATCTCTAACTTTGTCTCCTAACTGCTCAGCCTGAACTGTCCCTCTGATAAACTTTTCTAATACTGTTCCTTTTGGTTATTCTCAATGAAAATCTTAACATATCTGTCACCTCCTACTCTGCCTCTTGTCCTGTCATTAGTTCAACAATCTCTAAATCATACATCATAGTAGGTCTAACTACATAAACCTTCTCTTTCACTCTTGCTCCTTATGTTACAAATCACCCCAGACATTCATCTCCATCCACTTCACTCTGCCTACGTTCTCTTCTGTACTGCTTTTGTGCCCATCACTTTGTTATCTTGACCCTAAGTACCGGTATTTATATGCATCCACCATGCCTCTACTCCTTGCAGTTTCACTGTTCCACTTGTTTGCTTCTCATTCATACATTTGCATTATGTTCTGCAAATTTATTCTTCTCTTCAGAACATACATTTACTTCTCCAGCCTGCAAACAAGAAGGGACTCATAGCTGATCCCTGTTGTAATTCTACCCGTACCTTGAACTTATTAGTCTCTCCTACAGCACATGTCACCACTCTCTCACTGGCCTCATACATGTCCTTCACTACCCTCTCATACTTAGCCACAGCTGACTTCCTCATACAGTACCACCGTTCCTTTCTTGGCATCCTATCATCTGCTTTCTCTAGAGCTACAAAGAAAAAGTGCAACCTCCTCTAACCTCTGTGCCTTTCATCACAAACAACAATGAGTCCAGCTACAGGCAGGAGATGGAAAATCTGGAGAGCTGGTGAAAGAAGAACAACCTTCATGCTAATGTGAAGAAGACAAAGATGGTTGTGGACTTCAGAAGGAACAAACACACCTACCCCCCTCTGAACATAAGAGGATCGGTGGTGGAAGTGGTCCCCAGCCGCAAGTACTTGGCTGTGCACCTGAATGACAACCTCAGCTGGGGCAACAACACCACCAGCCTGATCAAGAAAGCTCATCAGAGACTCTACTTCCTCAGGCGGCTGAGACGAGCTGGTCTGGGAAGCTCAGTCCTCACCTCCTTCTACAGGTGTGCAGTGGAGAGCATCCTGTGCTCCAGCATCAACGTGTGGCATGGAGGCTGCACAGCTGCAGAAAGAAAAGCTTTGCAGAGAGTGGTGAAGGCTGCACAGAAGACTGTTGGAGTCAGCCTCCCCACCATCACAGACATCTACACCTCCAGATGCAGGATGAGGTCCACCTGCATCATGAAGGACCCCACTCACCCAGCACTCACACTTTGTGCCCCGCTCCCCTCAGGAAGGAGGTTGAGGAGCATTAAGTGTAGAACCACTAGACTGAGGAACAGCTTCTACCCTGAGGCTGTTAGACTCATGAATATCTAACCAGAATAATCACTGTGAAAAATCACATCATGTTGCTGCTGATATGTTCCATGTTGCTGCTGATCTGTTTCATGTTGCTGTGTTCAATCATGCTCATCTGCTCACACAGACTCATGTTCGTGCTGCTGTTTGGTGTAGTTTTTTATGCTACTAGTGCTCAATGTTTTATTTAATTCATGTTTTTCTTAGTTCATATCTTAGATCTTATTACTGTTTTTACATTTTAATATTTTTGTTGGATGTAACTGGAATCCTTTGTACACAATTTCGTTCCACCATGTGGTGTGTACGACAAATAAAGAACCTTGAATCCTTTCCAATTACACTCGATGTAGACGTCTTAAATATAGTGCCCTTTTCCAATAGTGATCTTCACCTCACTTAATAAGCTGACTGTAACACCATTTTTCCATATCTTCATAATACGGCTCATCAGCTTTATCCCTTTGTAGTTGCTACAACTCTGCACATTTCCCTTGTTCTTGAACATCACTACCACTAGATCTCCATTCCTCAGGCTGTCTCTCACTCAGTATGACTGCGTTAAACAGACAGAATACAAAGTCCACTGCCTCCTCACCTAGACACCTTCACACCTCCACGTGTGCGCCAACTTCCTTTTCACTCTTCATCCTCTTTATTGCTGCCCTAACTTCCTCTTTACTAATTCTAACTAACTTACTTTACTAACTTACTGAATCACTCCCTTTCCTCCATAATTTTTTCATTCATCACTACCCTGCAGCATGCATAAAAACAACAAAATATGCATTAAATCATTCAGTTTATAGATATTGTGCTCAAATTTGGTCTGATAGTAACTGATGACCAACACATACAGGTATTCTGAACTCTAGATTGTTCCAGATTTTCGGGTAAATTTTTCCTAAACTTATTTGGAGTCAACTCTGTTTTTCTGTTACCGGTAATTAAATATCTCATTAATTAGAAGGATTTTAATAAGACTTTTAGGAAATGATCATTAGAACATACAAGATGGTTATCAATCAACCCCATTTACTGATATTGTGCTATATTTTGAAGTGGTAGTAGTTGAGTGTCATTCACAACTAGGGCTGGGCCATATCATATTGTTCACGATAATACCGGTTTAAAAATAGCTTGCCCTGGAAAATAAATGTTATCATGGTATGCTAATTTCATGATGTAAGTACATCAGTGTTTGCCCCGCCCCATTAACAGAACTGAGCATGCCAAATTACCAAACCGAACTGCACCCCCCCCCCCCCTCCACCTGTCGGTACTGGCGTAACGCTAATTAGCTGTGCGCAATACTAACTAGCTAAAATGCTAAAAACAAACAACGCGCGGCTCGGCTGCGCTCCTCCACCCAGCTCTAAACTGCAGGTACAGACAGTGACAGCTCAACTGTCTCTCCCTCCCCCAACCAGCGCAGCTCCACTTTTCTCTCTCCCCCCACCCTGCGCTGGGTTGCCAGTGCGGGCGCAGCTCAGCTGCGTCTCCCCCCCCGCTCTAAACTGCCGGTACAAACACATGCAGTTCAACTGTCTCTTGAGTTCCACAGTCCATGGACCAAGAACAGAGTCAGGTGATCAGAGACAGAGCATCAGAGAAATGAATCATTCCTGCAGAAACGGAGGAAGCTGAAACACCACAAGCTTCAGGGTCAGCTGATCACCTTGTTACAAGTTTTGAAAGTTATAGCTCATTTAAAGGCAACCTATATTTTGTAGTATGTTACATTTATGCTCAGCAGATCTTAAGCGTCATTTTATTTAGTTATTTTGTGAAACTGCAACTGCACTTTAGTTTTTGTGGTGGATTTTGTTGATCTATAATTTGTGCAGACTTTTTCAATCTAAATAACAGAAGGATCATTTTTATTTTTATATGTTGAGACTGAATACTTTACTAAATAAAGTTATTTCAGTAAAATTAACCCTTTTTTTGTTTTTATATAATACTGCAAAGCAACATGTTAAGTTAATTTTGTCAAATCAGTAACTACGATTGCTGTTTTTTTTTTTTTTTGTTGTTGTTATATCACGAAAGTTATCGTTATCATCAGAATGCTCTGAAATATCACAATATTATATTTGAGCCATATCGCCCACCCCTATTCACAACAACGTGTCTGAATGGGATATCGCATGAGATCTTGCATAAAGTAATTTCTAAGGTTTGGCCAAAAGGCTTCAAATCCATCATTCCTCAACATACGATTGTTTTAGTGTAAAATATTGACAAAAAAGACAGTGGGTCAACCTTATCATGAAGTTACTGTAGGTTTGTTGTGATTTTAGGTTGTGTTTTTATTTTTATTTTGTTCATTTCTATGCATTTGATTGAAGAGTTTCTTTTTATTGTATTTTTATTTTTAAAGTTTATTTTGCTTTTATGTTTTGATGGGAGTGGTGGCGCAGAGGTTAGAGAGGGTGAGCCTGTAATTGGAAGATCGCTGGTTCAACTCCTGTTACCGACAACATCAAAAATGTGGGTAAGATAGGTGAAGCAGCCACACCCGTCTCCACCCTCATTTGCCCCACTCTGGGCTCTTGAGCAAGGCCTTTAACCCCCACCATCTGCTCCCCCGGGTACCCTAGCTAGCAGCTCTCGGCTCCACACAGAGGGCTGTGGTAGCTCAGTAGTCTGTGGTTGCGTCAGGAAGAGCATCCAGCGTAAAAATAATTGCCAAGTCTTCGCTGTGGTGACCCCTGAAGAAGGGAGCAGCTGAAAGGAGAGGAAGAAAAAATTGCTTTAATGTTTTGTCAGTTTCATTTTTATTTCCTTCATACTATATTTCAGTTTCATCATTACCACATCTTTGGCTTTAGCTTCACATGACAGTTAAATATCATAAGCAAAAATGATCCTGGAAAAAGTCATAATTTTATGTATTTTATGGTTCTTTCTTCACTGCTTGTTGAATAACAAAGATGTAAAGAGCTCAGAACATATTTGTTTCTTCACCTGCTCTTTTATGTCTTTGGCTGCATCTGCAGATGGTCAGAGAAATGTGTGTGCTGAGTCGACTGTTTTTTAGAGACGTGTGATTACAAACAAGAATTGAATAATAAAATTAACCATGTCCCTTTCCTCTTCAGCATAAGGAGTATGGACCTGAGCCTGCGAGATGCTCTGGGTGGCGGTGGAGGTGGGGCCCCGGCTGAGGCCCTGCTGAAGAAAGACTTTGTGGCCTCGCTGGAGAAAGAGAGTTATGATGACAAGGTGGGAGAGACGGTTTCCAAAGCTGACTACAGACCCTTGCTGGATGGAAAGGACACCAAGAGCAGTGAGTTGCCTCCGTGTATACAAACATGAGCTGCTGTGGAGATTTATTTATATGACGGTGCACTTTGTGTGACCCTTCATTCAGTGTAGAAGAGCTGTGAGTGAGGTGACTGATGGGCATTTAGACAAATAAAATCACCCGTCCAGATATTTTGGCCTCATGAGACTTGATTTTAAGCCGACAAGCTCTGGCCTCAGTTTAACCGTTATTTCATTCTGTGGTAAAAAGGTTTAAGCACGTTAAAGTTTTAAAAATAACAAAACTGAAGCAACAGCTTCTTAAATATTACTGCTATCACTTCGCTCAAGCTCCTGAAATACATACACTACCCACAATTCAACTTGATTCCACCTTGTACTAGATGTCCTTTTAGGTTTGTATGTGAAAAATCAGTTCAAAGGCTTTCAGTAGACATTTAATTCCCTGATCGTTTACTTGTTTAGTTTGTGTTTTCAGTTTTAGTCCATCCAAGGATTCAGAAAACACCATACAGCTGAATTACAGAACAGTTGTTTTTCTTGTGAAATCTACAGTTATGTGTGTAAAAAGAGCCCTCAACTTATTTTTTTGTAACAAGTTTGGCATAAGACTTAAATTTCTAAAGACGGAGAGTTTAAAAAAAAAAAAGTTGTGTCAGTGTCGTCAGGAAATGTTATTAATTGTTTAAATAACGGACAAAGATGATGCAACATAGTGAAATAGCCCTACATGTTCAGTCTTTAAAGGTTCAGTGCACAAGTTTTAGTGACCTCTAGTGATGAGTTGCATAATGCAACCAATTGAACATCTCTTGGCTCACCTTCCACACCTAATTTTCTGGGATAAATTCAAGCTGATGCAAAATGAAAAACAATCTTTAAAAACAACATTACTTTTGCAACAATGTAACCTTTACGATACACAGAAACTTAAAAGAAGCATTTTCTTGTTCTTTTGCTGATCACATGTAAATGGAAGCTGTTTGCATTATTTCCCATGAATTCTCCTCATAAACCAACAAAAAAGTCACTTGGTTTTAAATATTAACTTTAGAGTATGACATTTAGTATGACCTGTTGGTAGAGCTGCTGCCTCTCAGCAAGAAGGTCGCCAGATCAAATCCCGATCGGGGGCCTTTCTGGGTGGAGTTTGCATGTTCTCTCCATGCATGTGTGGGTTTTCTCCAGGTACTACAGTTTCTTCCCACTGATCAAAAACATGCATGTTAGGCTGATTGGTAACTCTAAATTGTCCCTAGGTGTTGTGTGAGAGAGTGAATGGTTGTTTGTCTCGTTTGTCTCTATGTGTCCCTGTGATGACTAGAGACCTGTCCAGGATGTCCCACGCCTCTTGCATAGTGACTGCTGAATATGGGCACCAGTGACCCTCGTGACCTGAAAAGGAAGAAGCGGGTAAAGATGGTGGATGGATAGTTAGTATGACCTGTACTGGCTGTACATAGAAACAGAATAAGCTTTTTGTGAAAAATGCATGAACAATGGAAATAGTTGAGCTGAGAGGTCAGGAATTAAACACTGGGACAAAAAGAAAAGAAAAGTGAGAGTTGAAGAGGGTGAGATTGAAGGATGGATGGAAATAAAGTTGTCTAGGCTGAAGAATAAAGTAGCTCAAACTCTAAAGCCCTGTTGACACAAATATGGATTATCATAACTCTTAGTGAAGGATTTGTTCCAATTTAAAGCCCAAGGGGGGGATTTAAGCATGTTTGTATTCTGTTGAGTTCACACTTGTGTTTTGATGTCTGTAAGTGTTCCTGTGTGATTCTTAATGTACACTGATCCCTACAAACAACATCACAACCTTCTTGATATGTATTAAGCTTCCTTTTTTCTATCAATCAGCATTGAAGTCCTAAAACATGGACTCTGTTAGACCTGTGAGGGAACTCATTTGTTAATAAAAGATGCTTCATATTACAAGTTGATGTTGGGTCTTCAAAGCTTTGGACTTTTTGTCCAACCTACCCCTCAAATGATTGACTCAATTGAGACATCGATCCTTTGACGGCTCAGAGAACACCCAACACTCTGTGTTGTGTTCTGCAGAATTTCTTGAACCCTTTTCACTGTGCAGCAGAACACATTCAGCTGGAAGAAGCCCCTGCTCTCTGTACAAGGGTGGTTCACCCTTACCTGCACAAACTAACTTCACCGTGCTCGGTCAAAACCAGGATGAACATTTTCTGCATTTTAGGCTACAGTAGCTGTTCCATTTGATTGACAAACACAGACCAACCCCGGATCCTTTAGTTTATCTCTAAGCTTAGTTACCCATTACCCTGTCACTGGTTCAGTGGTCCAACCACTGCAGACTAATAATATCCCATAATATCTGAAGCGATGGGGATGTAGTGAACCTGATCTGAACCTGATCTGACCTCAAATCTTGATCAGATGAACAGAGACTGTTATTTCATTGATCTGCATCCAGAAATACAGTTTGAGCCATCTGGTGACTTTCTTTCTTGAATTAATCAAGTAGAAAAGACAATTCTCTATGATCATTACTATTTTACAAACGTTTGATAATCAAATTGTGTTAGTTTACTCAATGTTTACAGGTTGAAGAAAACTACTCATTTTTATTTTACATAAACAGTAAGTAATGATTTTTATTCCTCATTCAAAGAAGAAATCAGGTTAATATGCATTTCTTGATTTTTCTGTCTGCAATGAGCCAAGTTTTGTAAGTATGTTAAAGGTCGGTTTTCGGTCAACTAAAATGTTTACCGAGAAAAAATGTCATGTTTAACTATTTGAGAAGATACAGCAGAGTGAGACTCCACGAAGTCTGTTTTTCTGCAATAATCTTTCTGTCTGTTGTTTAAACAATCTCATTCTCTGACCTCGAATTTGATAACATCTTACATCACAAACCACACCTTTTCCTGGTCCATCGACCAATCAGAAAGCTCTAAATTGACCCGGAAGTCAACTCATTTAAAATGTGGCAACTTCCCGGTTCTTGCTAGAGAGTGCTAAAGTCTGAAGTCTGAAGCCAGACGCTGAAGATTAATGGAGCTAAAAAGAGTCTGATGCTGCAGAGCTCTGAGAGTTCCATACAGAATGCTGATGAGTTGATGGAGTTAGAGTTCTTGGATGCAAACGCGTTCAGGATGATCCAGAGACGTTTTGGGATTATAACTTCTGTTTGAACAACCACGTACGACTCTCGAAGGATTTCAGCTGCTCTCAACGGAGACCCTGAAAGAGTCAAGGAAGGATCCTATACCGAGCTGATTTATCATCAACCAGGTAACGGTTTCTACTTCGACAAGCGTACCGTCGCAAGCTGAGATCTGATGGAGCGTGCACGTTTTCTGGTCAAACAGATTAATTCCCTTACAAATCTCTCTGTAAGATAAATCTCCATTTCCATCTTAAACTCTCCTTTCTCTTAAAATCAGTACAGATATTTTAGAAATATCTGAAGCAAAGTCCTCAATCACCGCCGTGTGATTGAAGCCCATTTTCTGTGAAACCTGTCTGTTATTATTTTCATATTTTGCCAAAATTAATGTAAATGTTTGATGTTAAACTTTGATTCTGAAAATAAATGACCGCATTCATTTGATGGGTCAAACATAAATAACGTCTCTCGTTACATTTCTGTTAAAATTCAATGCACGACATTTACACAGTCAGAAAGATGAGGAACTCGTGAAAAGTATGAATATATATCCTATATGTCATACTACTACACTAGGACCCAACTGTCTAGCCATCACAATTTGGCCTTTATCAAATTTGATGTAACTTTCATGTTGCACATTTTAATTTACCGACAGCACATTGGCTCAGTTGGTAGAGCTGTTGCCTCTCGGCGAAAAGGTCGCCAGATCAAATCCTGACCATGGACCATTTTGGGTGGAGTTCACATGTTCTCATGTGTGGGTTTTCTCCAGGTACTCCGGTTTTCTTCACACAGACCAAAAACATGCATGTTAGGCTGATTGGTAACTCTAAATTGTTCCTAGTTGTGAGTGAGAGAGTGAATGGTTGTTTGTCTCTATATGTCCCTGTGATGGACTGGAGACCTGTCCAGGGTGTCCCCCGCCTCTTATTAGGAAATCAGTTGTAGATGTCCACCCAGTGAGTACTTTCTAAGAGTTTCATTGAAACTTGTCCAATTGTTCATGAGATGTTTTGCTAATGCAGCAGACAAAAAAGTAAACACACATCCAGGCAAAAAAAAGACTGCCTGCTTTTCACAGGAGATGGCAAAATAACTAATGAGAACAAGAGCTAAAACACACAAGTATGGCTTAAAAATGTCAAGTAATACCTTACCTAATTTTAAGTCATAAAATGAGTGTTAAAACTTGTAATCAATCACAACATAACATCTGGAATAATCATTAGTGGTTGTTATATAATGCCTCTGAATTCGAGGAGCTTGCCAGTATTTCATAAAGTCATGCTGAAGTAAAACATTTGCCCTAGATCATTTTCAGACAGATTGTAAAACACAATTACATCCTTATTTTTGCTTTTATAAATTCATCCAAAGAGCCAAAGATGTTTCCCATCCTACACTAATGAGAATAACATTAATTGTTAAAACAAACTGAGCAATTGAAACAAGAGGATTTAGTTCATTAGAGCAAAATGAGAGAAAATCAGTCATTGTCATGGCATTTAATCAAGAAAAATATGCATGGATGCTCTCACTTACACCTCCAATCAATTTATAATCCCTAATAAACTAATAAACCTATTTTTATATACTGTACTTGCTACCTGTCCAGGATGTGCCCCACCACCTGGGTAAATTAAAATCAGTCAGTCCATCTGTCCTTCCATCCATTATCTTTACCGGCTTCTTCCTTTTTGGGTCACAGGGCTCGCCGGTGTCCAGCAGTCACTGTGCGAGAGTTAATGATCGCCACAGCTAAAAGACCTTAAAAAACACAGCGATGGCTATAACTCTTACAGATGTTGGATTAAAATTAGGCTTGGTAGTAGCTGAAAGTCATCCCCGACATATAGTACGACTTCTCA